CTGGTCTCAGGACAGCAGCATTCAGAGATGGGCTTTGGCAAAGCGGCTACTTCTCAAGGGCTCCAGCCTCAATCAGTGCATTCACCCATTAGCGATTCTTAATTAGCTGGTGAGGCGGGGAAGCGGTGGAAACAGTAGGAGGTGCTCCCTCCTTGGAGGATGTGTGTCACCTGGAGCCTGGCCTAAAATGTGCATCATGTCCCTGACACAAATCATGTCCTCCTTCTCCCTTCCTCTCCCCCACTTTAACGTGGCAGGGGGTGAGCAGCCTTCCTCTGCCACAGCCCTCTACCACATGGCTCTGGGTCACCAAGGGCCCACAAACCACGGACCCCCTCTGAAACCACAAAGCAACATAAACCCTTTTCCCTTTAACTTGATTTTCTCATTATTTTGTGGTGTCAGTAGAAAGCTAACAGGACATTACGCCAGACACGCAGGACATCTGCCAGCACAGGCAGTGAAAACAGCTTCAGACAAGCTTCCCCGAGCCATACGATGGCGGAAGCTCGAAGCTGCCCTGGACACAGAATCTCAGCCTGTGGTGCACAGGATCCGCTCGGGTCAGACACACCAAGGCTCACGTCCCGTCATCACTGCTGCCCAGGTGTGACAGCAGGCATAACTACTCAAACTCTGCGGGGTTTTGGTTCCTCTGTTGACCCTCTCACTTGTGTCCCATTGGAAATAAGGCTTAAAACGTGGAAGGATAAGGAGGACCCCTTGTCTGTGCCTCCCGTTGTCCCTTCCCCTTTCCTGGGTGAGAACAGCCCAGTCTCGGGGGGCATCGCTGTTCCTCATTCTCTGTTGACGTGGTTTATGGAGTTGACTCCACCCCCAGGCCTGTCTGTGGGCAGAACACCTAATCAGGCCCAGAAGACTTGATTCCAGGAGTTTTGCTGCAACAAGCTGAATTGGTATTTTCTTTTTTCTGGAAAGATACAAGTTGTCAGAGGCCACTGAAGGACAAAGTCTGCCTGAGAGTGAGGCTCTCACAGCAAGGCCTGGAGCAATGAAGATATGATGAATATAATTAGCCCCTGGGTCTTATGGAATATAAAAAAAGCTAGGCCTTCTGAAGTCTCCAGCTCATGGACCCAGTATCTCTTTAATTATTTTCTTAAAACAAATTGTACTCTTCTATGATGTCCTAACTGTCTTGATCAAAAATCTATCTCCCATCATCAATCTGAGGTCTGATTTAAATAATATATGCAAAATACCTACTGTGAAATACCTTGACCCACGGTAAATACTCAAGAGATGGGGTTTGTTGCAAAGGTGTAGAATGGCAAATCATTCCCATCGACCGACAGTGAGCTACAGGGAGTGAGGCTGTAGACACACATCCACACACATTCAGGAGGGAGCACAAGCTCTTCTCTATCCATCTGTGATGCAATACAGCTGTCATATATATATATATATACCTGCTGGAAAATACCCCTGCAACGAGCCTGGTATTTGAAAATAACAAAGGTTCGGTGTTGAACCAACTTTTAGTTATCCGCATGTGAGAAAATAGGTAACCGCCGTTCAGCTGACCCCGCCAGCCCCACGTATGTTAGAGCAACATGATCAGTAAGATAAGTCTGAATCTATTTTTAATTAGGTACAATAGCTCTAAATGTTTCTTGCCTCTTGCAAACTTAATAGATTTTTGAATAGTTTATAAAGAGATCTATTTTCCATTGCTTTACGTCAAGCAAGGCAGAATCCAACAAACCACATTCTTGAACCTCTGAAGACATTTAGGCGTTTGGGATAAGAGTCCTGACTCAAAGCATTTAGGTATTAACTGACTCTCCAGCTCTACGTTCTTCTTCAGTGTCGAATGCAGCACCCTGGGTTTTATCTACTGAATTGTTAAATAAAGGAAAATAATACCATCCTTTAGAACTTAAGTATTTTTCCTTCCCATCTTGTTGGGGGGCACTGAGCATATCGGGGATAGATCATGCTGAGCTACTCCTTCAGCCTCTTCTTGCTCTTATTTTGAGATGAGATCTTGCTAGGTTGAAATCTTGTTGGGGGGCACTGAGCATATCGGGGATAGATCTCAGGGCACTCATGCTGAGCTACTCCTTCAGCCTCTTCTTGCTCTTATTTTGAGATGAGATCTTGCTAGGTTGTTTGGGCTGGGCTCACACTGTGAGCCTCTTGCCTCAGGCCCCCAGAGTGCCTCTCCCTCTTGGATTGGCAAATGAAGGTGGGAAATAAGTCTCGAGTGTCAGACTGATCTTCACGTGTACCAGTGAGGAACATGAAACCAGACCAAGTAAGCTCCAAAATCTGGCTGTTACATAGTAAACGTGCTAAGCTGAACAAACTGCGTAACTCTTTCATTTCACTGAAATGACAATAGCAGTCCCTCCCATACAAGGTTTTATGAAGATCAAGCAACATGACTGATACTGTGCCCAGCCTACGCTGCTTACCAAACACATGTAAATCTCCTTACGCAACTTTATCTTGATGACACTAAACTCCCAGGTATATTTTCCCCTAATGAGAATCCATCCTCTCTTGTTGTAATATAATCTTTTTTTTAGGTCCAGGTATTGAACTCAGGACTTTGTTCTTGCCAGGCAGGTGTGGCACCCCTGAGCTACATTCTTGGCCCTCTTTTAATATTTTTTTCTTTCCTCTTTAGGAATCACATCTCCCTGATCTTGAATTGGGCGATTTGAGTGATGTCATTCTGCTCCTACTCCCTGTCCCCACAGAGATATAGGTATGGCTTCCATGAACAGGGTGTCACCTGCCGTGTTCCCCGCAAGCCAGGCCCTTCAGAGTCAATCCCTGGAAACACAAGGAAGACTCAGGCTTCTAAGCTGTGAGACTGGAGCTCACAGCTGGGAGTGGCCATCCTTGCGGGAAAATGAGGGGAGCCTGGGAGCGTAATCACCCGGCAAAAGAACAACACAAGAACCTGCTTCCCACCATTGATCTGAGGACCGATTTAAATAATGCGTGCAAAATACTTAAGTAAAAACTTTTCACATGGGACTGATGGTGTGGGATGGGAAATTATTCAAAGAGGGCCATGAGGTAATACTGTGCTGAGATAAATTTTTTAGTCACTTTGTATCAGCGCTGGAGCGAATCTCAACGCTTTGGAAGAAAGCTCCTATATAAATAGTAATGGTAGTTTTAATAGCATTCATGGGGATAAGGTAAACAGGAGCTACTACATCCCACAATTACTCTGCAGTGACTTTTGATTGCTTCCAGGGTTGGCATGACTCCTGCCACTCAGGATAAAGACAATTCTCAAGTGTGCTAGCGATGTGCTGGAGATACTCCTGCATCCTGCTTTCTCCATGGAAAATGTGACCTTATTACCCACGGCCACTTCAGGACTCAGTTGGAGAGGTCCCCTCACCTACCCACACCACCAACCTGGGATCTGGGTAGGAATGAGAAAAGGCAGCTTCTTTCAGTGAAGCTGGCTGCAAATACTAAGCAGTCTCACACTTCCCGTGTAGTTAGGAGCAACTGGTCTCCAGGAGTGAGTGGATCATGTATGGCTTTGGCTGACAGCTCCTTTTTTGGCCCTCAGGAAGCAGCTTCCAGTCAGAGGGCACAGACCATGTGGCCAGAGGCCAAGAGTCTTCCTTTTATTAATAAGCATGGCATTGTGCATTTTCCAAGGTCTTATTCCTTCTCTAGAATAGTCAAGCAAGTTTAAAGAATTTACCTTGGGGAGCTGTTCGGCAAGCCCAGTGAGAGAGGTAGACAGGCAGGCCCGGCGGCCAACAGAACTTTGCATTTCACCACTCCTCTGCCTAAGTGGGCTGGACTTCCAGGGCTCACAGCTCTGGCCCAGAAAAGAAAGGCCAAGAGGCCGAGACAGTAGTGTCTACTGATTTAGTAGATCATGTACTTTGGAGACAAACAAGCTTCATTTGAATCCTGATGTTGGGACTTTCTGGCTGTGTGACCTTGGCCAAATTCCTCAGCTTCTCTGTGCTATATATTTCGTGTGGGTTAATGATGATATTAAGAATTTCCTTATGAAGGTGTTATGAGGATGAAACAGGTTAAGTTTGAATAGTGCTTATCACAGTGCCAGGGCTGGAGTGGGAAAGATAGCACTCTCTGTCCCCAAAGGAAAAGATTTATTTTAGATAACAGAATAATTAGGCTTTATATACAGTCACATGTAATACTTTTATAGACATGATAGTTTTGACTTTGGGTTACTGGGGTTGTAATGGAGCTTTCTGAGAGAAGATCCCGCCTCTAGGAGTAGCTAAGAGAGGAGAGCTGTTCGCATTGGCAAAGGCACAGAGGCTGTTTCGCCAGCCCAGGGCAGCAGTAACTACAACCCTCAGGGAGGTAGAAAGCCTGCACCTGTGGGCCCCTGGCATAAGAAGGTCCTCATCCGGGTTCTTTCCCCTTTTCTGTGCTTTAGGCCAACGCCTCACCACGAGCCACATTTGCTGGCACCTTGATCTGGACTCCTCGCCTCTGGGACTGCACAAATACATATCCAGTGTAAGCCTCCAGTCTATGGCATATTGTTCTCGCAGCCCGAGCAAAGTGAGACCACGCTGTCTATGTGTTTGGTAATTTCTACAATGTCTGTGGCAGCCTGTGCACTCCTGAGGCCCCCGCCCACCCATGAAGGTGAAAGAGAAAGCCTGATGACGTAGTCAGGAAAAGGAAGGAAACTCCACGTTTGGACTAAATAAAATCTACTTATTTATTTTTGAACACCTTTATGTGAGTATGCGGTACATGTGTATATAATGTTTTAATATTAAAATATCATTTTTCTAAAAGAAAAATCTGTCTCAAGTATTCATCAGAACCTAACCAAGTAACACAGCTTCTGCTGCTCACCAATCATCAGCTTGGGGAAAGGCAAGAAACCTGGGACACAACTTTCAACATTTCCTTAAGGAGATCACTGGAGTCTGCCATCCAGGAGGCAGCGATCCCATGCTCACTTACTGTTGACATCTTATTATGCCAGAAGGCAAAGCCGGACTTACCAGTAGAACCTGTTTGGCACCACCCCTTCCTGGATGAGCTGCCATCTTCTCCCGAACTCAGCAGAGCTGTAGAGCTAGAGAGAAAAGAAGTGAATAGCCCGTGGCCCTATGGTACATCAAATCCACAAGCATCAGTCCTTTACATCAGTAATAAAAATATATCTATTGATTGAGCTCTGGCCAGATGCCAGGTGAGCACTCCACACATCTATTACCGCTACTTCTACAAATCCTACGTGGAAGATATTCAATTATCCATTTTATAGCTGAGGAGACTGGGTTCAGAACGATGAACAGAATTGCTGGAAACCGCACGCTGTATAAACAGTAGAGTGCCCTGGAATTCTCACTGTATTCTACCCAGTGACAAAGCTGGCTCTTCCCACTGACGCAGCAGGAGCAGCCCTTTTTCTAGGGCAGGTTGAGCGAAAAGTCTAGACCTAGCACTGGGACCGCCCGTGGTCCATCCCGAACCTGGCTGAACACAAGGCGGCCCCAGTTCAAGGGACACAGAGGGGTCCGGAATCCACCAGGGGGCTCCACAGACATTGTGAACCATGTGGGACCCGAACATAAGATGGGACTCAGATAGGATAAAATGGCGTCACTTACAAAGGAGACAGCAGGGGCCAGAGTGTTGAGCCAGGCAGACAGGTGACAAAAGAATCCTGCTCGGGTACATATGTTTGCCTGAATCGGTGAGGGAAACTCTGAAAAGATCTGAGTATCAATTTAAGGGAACCAGAACTGAGCTTGCAGGTGAGGAGAGGCCAATGTTGGCAGGATAACTAAAGGAAGTGTGGGTGATAAAACATCAGTCCTCTCTGACTGCGCTCTGACCACAATCCAGGTGCTCTGCATGCACGAGTTCACTGATCCCACTCACCATTGCAATGACACAGGAAGACGTGCAGCCCTTTTAGGATGGCTCCATGGCTGGCACAATCTCAAACCCATTTGCTACCCGGCTTCTGCACAGCTCCAGGTTGACTGCACAGAATCACCTTGATCAGATGGGGATTCATCTTCCGCAGCTCCTTTCCCCCAAAATGGCTACTTTTGGACCACCTGTTCTTAATTGCTTCTTTGCTTTCCTTTGGCAATAATCCACATGGCATCCCAGGAACTTCTGATCCAAGAAGTATCCTCTGATGGGCACCCAGAGAATACCGCTGCTCTTCGTACTCTAGTTCTCGGAGGGCATTTGGCTACTGACTTGAAAACTACCATGTGGATCACCTCCCTTCTTCTGTGTGCTTGGTATGTGGCCTCCCGCTCCTCCTAGACAGGCACCTCATTTGCTAACTAACACACCGAGCAGATGGCACCCCCTAGGCTTGCTTGGGTTCAGAGCCTGTGGACAATCAGGTATGCCCCGTGATATGTGTGTACATCTCCAAAAGGCTGCTTTGTTCTTTGTGAGCATCCAGAGGCGCCTCCAGCCTTGGGGATACAAAGCAACTCAATAATCCAAGCCTCTCTGATGCAGCTCAGTGAAATACTTCTAAATTCCGTCTCGGGAAAGTTCACCTTGGTCTTATAGACAGGCCCTTTCTTCTTCCCACTTTAACCTCGCCAGTGCTGCCCATTCCCTCAAAGGCTGCCTTGAGACCTGTTTCCTTCCAAGCCAACCTTTAATGCCCACCTTCTCTACAAACTTTCCCCTGTCCACCACATCTCCCATGGACCTCGTCCACAAAGAGCTAATATACGGCAGACACCACCACTGCAGGACACACCCTTACATCTCTTTTTAGTAGGCTTTCAAGACGGCCTTCTAACCATGCAAGTAGAAAACTCTTCTGATATAAAACATCTCAAAAATATCTGGGAATACTCCTTTACTCCTTAATATGGCTACAAAAGTTTTAGATGTCATTACTCCCATCCTCCTAGTATATATAAAGACACCCACAACTTAGTTGGAAAGGAAGGAAGTAATGACACTGCCCCAAGCAAATCCCTGAGTCACTGATCTGCATGGAAAAACTAAGGTTTCCCAGAAAATGGAAAATAATGATTTATTAGAGGAATACATTTTACTTCCAGGGATCCATAGCTACAGGCCAGTGTTTTAAAATAAAGTTTATAAATTCAGTACATTTGCAAGGCCTGAGGGTCTGCCTCTGAGGGCTTTCAATTTCTACCCAGACTGCTGGACAAACCCAACCTCCTCCTTCAAATACTCCCTCACTAAGAAGCTGACTGTCCAGCCCGGTGTTATATGCAGGAAGGGAGAAGGGGAGGACTGTCAGCCATTCACACGCCTGTATCAATTAAACCCAGAATCCAACAGCAAAGCTCTCCCCCCACAGAACGGTATCACAGTGTTTTTCCAACGGGCTCTGTGTCAGCTGCCCCTGGAAGGCTTTCCATGGAGAAGTCAGTGTTCTCTAATAGCTTTCGTAGTGTTGACAGCAGCTAAATAAGATTTATTTCCCTCTCTGCCTGTCTCCTACTCCAAGGTTTCTTTTGACCCTCAGAACCAGAGCTGAGCACTGTCATTACTGTCCCAGCAGAGAGCGGCTCGAGCTCTTCTGCAGTGCCAAGCCCAGGGAAGGGCAGAGCCAGACGGGGGAGAGAAAGAAACAGCACTTCCTCTAGTTTAGGAGGCACCGTTCATCTAATCCTTTGTCAAGCACCCAAAATGCCATTCTTACAGGGCATTTGTTTTTATTCTACCAACACTGGTATAAAATACAGGAAAGAAAACGAATAGAAGGAGCAGGAATTCTAAAGCACTTTCTTAAAGGGAAGTGATCTGACTAAGAGTGCAAGGCAGAAAATCTGTCCTGTCTGAAAATATCCTGTGCTTCCTGACACCCGCTTCCCTGCCTTGGTAAACACAGCTTCATGAGCGTACAACCTACTCCTCTCTGTTCAAGATCCAGTAGCAGCAGCCTGAGGTCTAACCTTCCACATGGTCATTACATTGGCCTGGGGCTGTCAACGCTTCTCTTTCCTGCCATCCTCCTCTCCTGAGGACTTAAAAAACAATCTCTCACACTGGCTTATTTTCTCGCCATCTGCCTTTATCTGCTATAAGAAGAATGCAGATAAAAATACACTTCATGGTAAAGGACGCCATTCCAGGGCTAGTCTTGTAAACGTTGAACTGTCCAGGCATCGACGTCGCCCTCTTCAGGCGACCTGTGGAGATGCACGTTGGGTGACGTGCATCAGTTTGGGGATAAGGAGAAACGCCACCGGGACTGAACAGCTGGATGACAAAAAGAATGTTATTTATTGACTTCACTCCAGATTCCCAGTGTATGGCAGGTCAACACAGGGAAGAGGGAGAGATGAAGCCTGAGCTCATACTAGCAGTTTCCACCTTCTTACCACGAACAGATTATTTACTGACTGCCTTCCCAGAAGACAGCCGTCTTTCTGGGGTAAAAGAGACATTCAACATCACTGTGTTGGAAGTTTGCAATTGTCACTGTCCCTGAAAAGTCTGTTCAGCATTCCTCAATCACATCAGGGCATCTTCTCTTTTCAGATTATTAGATAGGCTCATGTTATGAATTTTCTTTTGCAGCTAGGAAATCGATGGGAGGATACCTACTCCGTGGAAATCAGGCAAGGATAATTTTGCTGAAGTCAAGAGCGGCGGTAAAATCTTTTAGGACTTTGGTTGGCGGGATCAGCCGCTGTTCACTACAAAGCTTCCCGGGGTCGCTTCGCCAGCTTGGCACCGCCGTCTGGGCCCCCTCCACACAACTCCTTGTCAAGCTTCCATGGGTGGAATGCCTCCTGCTGTCAACTCTTTTCAAGGTTGCCTGCTTCCTCCCCTCTCCTCCTCTTTCCTTAACATTTTGGAGGCAGGGGGCCTGCAAATTGTACTTTTTGAAAAGGCTGACAAAATCTCTGCCAGTTCTGTTTATTTGCCTCATCCTAATACTGCCCTGGGGATGGCTTTGGGACAAAGCGCTCATCTACCTCCTGCTCTCCAGTTCTCACTGCTGCTTCTGCATTCTTTTTAGCAAGAAAAAGATGGTACCTTAAGGACTTCAAGTGAATTTCTAATGCTAAGCCCGAGGCATTGAAAATATCAAGCTCTTTTGTTCCCACCAGACTCCAAAGGAACAAAGAGAATCAGTCCGGAGAAACATATGGTCTTCAGAAGTATGCTGTAATGGGCTGGGGCTCATGCAAAAGGAAGGAACAAATTCTGCAGCAACTAAAATGGTTCCACAGAACTTCAGCAAGAGCTGAGAGGTCTTGACACTGAATGGCCAATAAAGAGCATCCACAGTGAGCAAACCCGGTCATCATCCTGAACACCACAACCACGCTCATACCTGAATGGCTAATAAAGAGCATCCACAGTGAGCAAACCCGGTCATCATCCTGAACACCACAACGACACTCACCCTGAGTCATGCCGCCCTGAATCATATTTCTCCATGGAAAAGCTATCAGGGAGATCACAGACAATGGGTGAAGTGCACACTGGTACAGAGCTGGCCTAGTAAAGAGAGCAAGATGGGAATTCACCAAGGCTTTCAAGGTGGGCCTTGGAGGAAAACTGAAGTTTCTTCTAAGCTAGAGGATGCAGAGAAAACATACTCCAAGGGAGCAGGTCGGTAAGAGCGAGTAAACAGAGCAATGCAGCATAGTGTGGCTTTTCTTCTTTGGTCAACAGCAGGAGACTTTCTGTGGGACGGATAAAGCGAGGGGGCACCAAAGCTACAAAGAGAGCCCAGGACCAGAATGGGCAGCTATACCGTACCAAAAGCTGAACAGTGCTGATGTGGACTGGGTCCAAGTATCAGCAAGGTCAAAAGACAAGACAGGCACCAAGGCCGAGCATTGGAGCTCTGCTGATGAAGAGTGAGCAGGAACGGTGACCCTGTGCTGGCTCCATCAATCTTCCTTGCAGTGGGGTTTAACAAATCTGTCACTGATCATCCTTCAGCTGTCACTGAAGCCCGTCACGTCCCCCACAGTTGGGCTTGACACTTTGAAGAGTGGAAGATCGGACAGATGGAACTGGAGCTGGCGAGGAAGGAAAGATCAATATGGGACAGAGGGCCACCTTGATTCGGGGATGCCTCCTAGATAGGGAGGT